TTCAAACTGCATTGGCCATTTGGGAGGCCAGCTCCTTCACCACCATGCCAAATGCCGGCCTCTGCTGCTCTTTTTAAAAACTGAGTTGGGGGGCCAGCAGATGATGTAATAGTTATGTCACTGGACTCCCACGTAGTCAACTATGGTCTGAGTCCCAGACTTGGCAGCTTAAACTCACATCGAGTGCATGTACGTGCATGCCCAAAACCCCTAAGAGGCTGGAGGAGAAGGGGTTGTGGCATGGCCACCCTCCCTGGGGGCAATTTCTTACTTTCTGACTCTCTGTCTCTCTGGAGAATGCACGCGCCCTATAGCAAAAACCTCTCTACAAAAGAAAACCAAGGTGGGGGACCAGCAGGTGGCGTGGTGGTTAAGGCTCTGGACACTCCCACATGGCTGACCACAGTTCAAGTCCTGGACCTGGCGGCTTGCTTTTTCACTTTCTCTCTCTCTTTCTCTCTCTCTCTCTCTCTCTCGTCAAATTAAAATATATGAGTGAATAAATAAAAAAATAAGTCTTAAAAAAACCGAGTTGGGCTGGGTCCAGCATTTGTTCATCATATGTTATTAGGTAGATTACACACACACAGAGTTGTCCATATTACTAGATATATTCACATACAGATATAGGTACAGTCATACACACGATTGTCTCTCAGTATTTGTAGGGCGTGTAGTTCCTAGGACCCCACACATACAAAATTCTTGGATGCTTAAGTCCTTCATATAAAAAGGCATAATAGGGGGCAGCAGGTGGCATGGTAGTTAAGGTGCTGGACTCCCACACCTGGCAGCTTGCTTTCTCACTTTCCTTCTCTCTGGACAAATTAAAAGAAATTAATTAACTTAATTAAATTAATCTTTTTTTTTAAAAAAAGGCATAATATTTGCATGTAACCTTATAACTTATGCACATCCTCCTGTATACTTTACATCATCTCCAGATTACTTGCAACACCTCATATAATGTAAATGCTATGTAAGCAGTCCTAATAATTGAGTTTTTTATTTTTAGTGATTTTTTAAATTCTTGTTTGTTTTCCTAATATTTTTTATCTGCAGTTGGCTGAATGTGCATATGGAAACCCACAGATATAGAACCTGTGGATGTGTAGATTTAACTGTATATAAGAATAGGGAAAAGATCAGAAGTACAAATACCAAATTTTCTCTTGGTAGAAAATTTTCTTTGTGTTTCTCTTTCCAAAATTTATTATGGATGAATACATGTCATTTTTTAAATTAAAAAGAAAATCACTCTTGATGGGGCTAGCAGGTGGCATGGTGGTTGAGGCTCTGGACAGTCTCACATGACCAACCATGGTTCAAGTCCCAGACCTGGTGGCTTGCTTGCTTTCTTACTTTCCCTCTCTCTGTGTGTCTCTCTCTGATCAAATTTTAAAAAAAAAAATCTTAAAACAAAGAAAATCATTCTTGAAAATTGACAGATGTTATCAAATGATACTAAGTTACGTTTGTGACGGAATTGCTAGATTGCTAGATAGAGCCGTCAGCCAACATGTCACAATGTGGGCCAAGGTTTTTCTGTTCGGTGTGTAGGGAGGATGAGGGAGCCAGAACAGCCAAGTCGCCTGCTGGCTCCCATCAACTTAGAGTCCTTTCATCCTCCATGCCAGCATGGCCCGGAATCCTGGGGAGCACTGCGCATTACTGTCCGGGACAGAAGCGTCCATAGCATGTTTCAGTTTGACTCAGCGTATTCCCATTTCATCTGTACCTTATTCACAGTAAGCATAGGATTAACAACCCTAATTATAAGACTAGCCACTCAAATAATAAAGAGCCCTAATAAGGGATACTATTCACTAGGGACTGTAGAGAGATGTTTGTGCCTGTGCTAGGCGCTGTCCTAAGGACTTCCCATCTGTTATCTCATTTAATTCTCAAGACAGTCATATGAAGCTTAGATATTATCCTGTTTGATAGGGGAGACATTGGATTCCACGGTGTTAAATAGCTCACTGGCACAGCCGAGATGCTGAACTAGATGTATCTATTCCAGCGTCTCTGCCTAAACCGGTGTACTCCCTGTGTCGGTGTTCAGGAACCTTTAAATTATGGAGCAGGACACGGCTCTGTCAGACCAGCAGCTGACTGCAGAGACCGCAGGCCCTCCGCCGTCCCTCCCCGCTAGAGCTCCAGCCCTGTGAGGACGGGAGCTGGTCCGTCTTGCCCACCTCGCACATTCTGCAGCATCACAGGCGTTCAGAAGTTTTGGCGTTCGGGCAGTGGCTCTTATACCTGCAGTTCTCAGCTCTGGCTGCACATCACAGTTGCCCATAGAGCTCTTCAACTGTTTGGATGTCTGGTGCCAAGAAGCATTGCCAGGGCATCTCAGTCGAGTGAGTGAGTGAGTGAGTGAGTGAGCGAGTGAGTGAGTGATGGATCTGAGACAGTCGGACAAGCACCCTCTACAGGGTTTCATGATCTCTACAGTACCTAGCTGCGATCTCCTCCCCACCCCTCCACCCCTCACAAGCCTTCAGCCAGCCAGGGTCATTGGCCCTTATGTGTACAGGTCAGCCTGAGAGCCAAACCCCAGTCTTCCACCCGGCTTCCAGCATAGCAGAGCATTGCATTCTCGCAGGGCCACTGCATCTCGGCCTCGTTCTGCAGGTGATTCCAGTGTGCAGCCCGGGCTCAGATCCTGATGGCGCTAGTGGGCGCATGCAGCAGACTCACCTGCAGAACTCGCTAACCCTCACAGTGCTTGGCCTAGCCCCAGGGTTTGTGGGTTACTGCGCCTGGAGTGGACCTTGAGAATTTGTATTTCTAGTAAGTTCCAAAGTGAGGTCTGTGGATCACACTTTAAGAACGACTATTGGGACCAGCAGATGGCATACTGGTTACGTCGCTGGACTCCCACGTGGCCAACTGCGGCCTTGTGTCTCAAACACGGAGGCTTGAAACTAACACCGGGCATGTGTGCATGTGTGTCCAAAATCTCAAGAGGAGACTGGAGGAGAAGGGATTGCAGTGTGGCCATCCCCTTGAGGGGTGATTGCTCACTTTCTGTCTGTCTCTCTGGTGAGTGCGTGTGTCCTGTAGCAAAAATCTCTCTATGAATGAAAACAAAAAAAGAACTACTGTCCCAGAGGATTGGTGATAAGGTACTGGAAACGTTTTTACCTAGGACTGAAGCGGGAGATGGCGTCAGTCAGCCTAGAGCAGAGGCTGGTTCCGGCAAGGTTGCAGTCACAGACTTCAGAGCGCCCAGGAGAGTGCCGTGGCCTTGAGCTTCTTGCTCTACACGTTTTTTTAAAAACAGTGACTGTCACTTTTTAACCCCCTAGAGAAAAACCTTTCTTTTATCAGTTTGACTGTTAACTGTTCGGGCCCGCACAGACCGGTTTATGCTTTCCAGAACGATACCCTCCTCTGCACGGCCACTCTGGCTCCACATCCGAGCAGCCCCCGTGGAGGGGCGGTGTTCACGCCCCAGGGTGCTGCGGGTCTGCCCTCCCAGGAGAGCCTGGGTGCCCTCGTCATCATCTGCTCCTGTCCTGGACCAGGAGGTCTGGCAGCAGCCTCTTTGACAGAGCCCCTTTTCTGGGTATTATTTGAAGAACCAAAGTTCCTGGGTGATAGATATCCTTAGATTACTAAGAATTATTTTTTAAAATGTGTTTTTGTTTGTTTGTTTGTTTGTTTGTTTTTTAACTTAAAGGCTTGGAAGATAGCTCTGCAGTGCAGTGGTAGTGCGCTGTTCGAGGAGCTAGATCTTCCGTGGTTACTGCAGTTTGAATCCCTAGCCCAGCTGGGTATACACCCCAGGGCCCAGGGACCTGGGAGAGGGGAGTCGTGGTGTGACCTGGCCCTGTGGAGGCATCTCCCTCTCCCTGTCTCTCTCCCTTCCTGTCTCTCTCCCTTCCTGGCCCTCTCCCTTCCTGGCCCTCTCCCTTCTTGCCCCTCTCTCTCCCTTCTTGCCCCTCTCTCTCCCTGGCCCTCTCCCTCCCTGGCCCTCTTTCTGTCTTCCTCCCATATGTATACCCTCACTCTGTCATGAATAAAGGAGAAAAATTTTAAGCAAAAAAGAAATGATCGAAGACTGGTACCCCTTTTCTGGGTATTATTTGAAGAACCAAAGTTCCTGGGTGATAGATATCCTTAGATTACTAAGAATTATTTTTTAAAATGTGTTTTTGTTTGTTTGTTTGTTTGTTTGTTTTTTAACTTAAAGGCTTGGAAGATAGCTCTGCAGTGCAGTGGTAGTGCGCTGTTCGAGGAGCTAGATCTTCCGTGGTTACTGCAGTTTGAATCCCTAGCCCAGCTGGGTATACACCCCAGGGCCCAGGGACCTGGGAGAGGGGAGTCGTGGTGTGACCTGGCCCTGTGGAGGCATCTCCCTCTCCCTGTCTCTCTCCCTTCCTGTCTCTCTCCCTTCCTGGCCCTCTCCCTTCCTGGCCCTCTCCCTTCTTGCCCCTCTCTCTCCCTTCTTGCCCCTCTCTCTCCCTGGCCCTCTCCCTCCCTGGCCCTCTTTCTGTCTTCCTCCCATATGTATACCCTCACTCTGTCATGAATAAAGGAGAAAAATTTTAAGCAAAAAAGAAATGATCGAAGACTGGTAAATATGTGTCCATTGTCTGCAGCTGCGTGAAGAGAAAAATAATGGGGGGGCAGGTGGCGTAGTGAAGGAGGTGCTGGGCTCCCACGTGGCCGCCTGCAGTCTGAGTCCCAGACCTGGCTTCACACGTGGGTGCACGTGCCCTACAGCAAACTCAAAAATAATCATCACGAAATGTTTAAAGGAAAGTAGTCAGAGGACAGCATAGCATGAGGCACGCGTGCGCCCTGGGCTTTGGACGGGAGCCGCCAGCTTCTCCACCTTGCCGCGATGCCCTGGGCCTAACAGTTTGGCTGTTTTCCAGAGTGCCCCCCTCCCACGCGCGCTGCTTTTGTACCATTCCTTGTCATGTATTTTAACTGTGTGGAGGAGAGCTGCTCAGGTTTTACAAACACTGTTTTTCTCTTTCTGTTAGGTCTCTCTGCAATGCAATCAATGTTTACAACCTCACCTGCAATAACTGTTCAGAAAACTGCACTGATGTTCTGTTTAGTAACAAGATTACCTTCCTAATGGACCTCCTGATACACCAGTTGACGGTATGAAATGTTATTGCTTTTAGTTAGAAGCAGTTCAGGTTGGAGAAGTGTTCCTGGGGGCGGGGTGGGGAGACGGACTATAAGAGTTTGGTGTATTTAGTCTCCAGGTGAAAGGGAAGGAAGATGGTTAGGAGAGTAAAATGAGGCCTTACAGAGAAACCCCTTATTTGAAGAGTCCGTATTGGAGTCTCTTGAGCTCAAACACTTAATGGATAGCACACTGGTAACACTTGCTCAGATCCCACATTTGCGTGGTGACACTGGGTCTTGGGATCAGCTGGGCCTTTACACCCTGGGGGACGAGTACCCCAGAAGAGAGCGAAGCTAAGGACCTCAAAACCTCTCTTACCTGCCAAGTTAAAAGGACTCTTCTGATGGTCATTTCGACCGTAAATAAAAAAAAGAAAAGAAACTGCTTTGTCAGAAAGGGCAAACTTGTTATACTTCGAATTGAGGACAAACGGGCAGTTGTCCCTTTACCTTTGACATCAGTTCGCAGGTGTTGAAAGAGGCAAGCTCAGAATAATGCCCGAAGTTTTAGTTCTGTCAACTGCAGCCCCCAGAACAGAGCTCCGAGGCCAGGAGTTTCCTGGTGGAGTTTCTGAGCCCCTGAGGGATTGGCACAGCATCGCTATCAAGCTGCAGGTTTACAGCAGGAGATTTATTCGGCAGAGCTGGTTTACTCAGCACGCCGTTCTAATAGCTCGTCCTTACACTGCGTGCCTTTCGGGTCCTTTTCTCCTCCATCTGGTTAATTCCAACACGTTCTGCAGACCTTAACTGAGGCGTAATGGCATCTTCATGAAATCTCCCCCAGCATGACTTACTTTCCCAAGTCCAGGTTAAGTAGGCTTCTCGTGTGATCCCAGGCATTATATCTCATATAATGGGTCACACTGAATGACAATGAGCTATTCGTCCATTTCTCCCTCTAGTGATAAAACCAACGCAGACAGAGGTAACGTCTCATAAGGCTGGCATGTAGTAGATTTAGTATGATTGCACAGGGGAACCCCTGCACAGCACAAGCTGAAAACCAGAGGGAAACCACGAAGCCCTTCCAGGCAGGCACAGGGGCAATGAGAGGGGAGCAATGGGGAGAACAAAGATGCACACCCAGGGTGGTTACGCAGCACGGCAGTGGTTTTTCATGGTGGTAACAGTGAGCCATTAGTCAAAGGCTGAATTATATATAGTTTTATTTATAAAAGAATGCATTAAAATATGGATAAACATTTTAGCAAGAAACTGCCTCAGAAATTCAGGACCAGCATAATAGTTATGTCGCAGGACTCTCCCACATAGTTGACCACGGTTCAAGTCCTGGACCTGGCGGCTTGAAACTCACTCTGGATGTGTGTGCATGCACGTCCAAGATCCTGAGAGGAGAATGGAGGAGAAGGGATTGTAGCCACCCCCCCTGAGGGTGATTTCTCGCTTTCCATCTCTCTGCCTAATAAAATCAATATTGTTATCCATTTCACAGATGAGGAAACTTAGGTCCCAGAGAGGCCGGCTTCCCTGCGGCCACGTAGACAGATCACAGAACTGGGAGCCAAACCTGAGCCTCTCAAACTCGATTGCGAGACATTTGGCACAGTGACCACAGGGTACTTATAACAGTATCATGAAGACAGAGAAAACGGAAAGAATGGTTGCAAAGTGGAGGAGACTCCTAAGACACAATGATGAAATGTAATGTGGGAGCCCGGACCAGAAACAAGGGCGTAGGTGGAAAACCTGGGAAATTCAAGCCAGGTCTATAGAATAATTCATTTTATTGACTCCTTTTAATAATTACACTGTGATTTTGTAAGATTTTAAACAGTAGGCAACACTGGATGAGAGGGACTCCACTAGTTTTGCAACATATTTGTTAGCTTAAAGTTAGTTCAGAGCTAGCAGGTGGCATGGAGCTTAGATGGCTGGATCCCGTGGCCACCTGATAATTCAAGTCCTGGACCTAGTGTCTTGAAGCCATGCTGGGCACACGTGCCCCAAATCCCAAGAAGAGGATGGAGGAAGAGGGATTGCAGTGTGGTCATACCCCCCACACACACACACACACACACATCCCGTACACCCCCTGCAGGGTGATTTCTTACTTTGTTTCTCTGTCTTTTTCTCTGGTGCACGCGCAAATGCATGTGCCCTATAGCAAAACTAAAAAAAATTTTTTTTTAATTTTTAAATGATTTTGATGTAAGGATAAAAAACAAAACATACTCTGTGGTGGCCCGTCATTCCATGCTGCATTATCTGGAAGAACTTTCTCTGTGAACTTATTCAATGTTGGTAATGGATTAAGAGACATTACTTTGAACAGAATAAGTAATAAAAGAGAATGGCATTTGAAAGGGAAGGAATGAACATGAACACTCACAGAAAGAATCTCCTGTCCTGGCTCGTCACACTTTTCTGTCTCCTACCTGCCCCCCGTTTTTACTTTGCCAGAGGGCACGTGCGCTCACCACAGAGAAAGAGGGAGAGGGAGAGAGCACCCTCCTATGGGGCATGGTCAGATCACAGTCCCTCTCCTCCATTTCCCCAGAACGTTGCGCACACCCACAAGTGCCCAGTGTGGTGTGCAGGCCATCGGGTCAGAGACCGTTGGCCATGTGGGAGCCGGTCCTCCTAACTACCAGGCCGTGGGCCAGCCTCACTCTTTTCTATTCTGAAACTCTTCTCGCTGGGAGAAGTCATATGCAGGAGCTCATTTATCCTCCCCTTAATAATGATTAAGTGCCTACTGATTTCAGTTCTGGAGAAGCACAGGATACAATCCCAGCTTCCTAGCAAATTCCTGTGTAGGAGTGGGGACAGATACACAGAGGACATAACTGTTATAGTTTAGAACGCAGTAACAAAACACCATAGACTGAGTGGCTGATAAACCCTGGAGATTTAGTTCTCACCGTTATGAAGGTTGGCAGTCCAAGATCAGAGTGCCACCGGGGTTGGGTTCTGCTGAGGGGACATCTTCTGGGTTGCAAACTGCCGACTTGTCGTTTTATCTTTTTTTTTCTTTTTTTTGGAGAGGTTTTTGCTATAGGGCACGTGCACTCACCAGAAAGACAGACAAAAAGCAAGAAATCACCCCCCAGGAGGGATGGCCATGCCACAATCCCTTCTCCTCCATTGTCCTCTCAGGATCTTGGGCACACATGCACACGTGCCCGGCGTGAGTTTTAAGCCGCCGGGTCTGGGACTCAAACAGCAGTCGACTACATGGGAGTCCAGCGACATAGCCATTACGCCAACTACTGGTCCCTCATTTTATCTTCATGTGCTCTTCTTTAGGGCACTAATCCCATTAGTGAGAGGACTACCTTGATGACCTAGTGACACCTTGAAGGCCCCATCTGCAGATGTCATCACATTGGGCTCAGATTTCAACATGGAAATTTGGGGAACACATGGACACTTGGTCCATAACACATGCAGGACACGGCATGATGGCCGCCAACCCAGAGGAAGGTGTTAGGTGGTTCTGCTTGGGGCGTCACAAAGGAGGGGCCTGTGAGCTCGTTCTTAGCCTCTCCTAAATAGCTATTGTTCATTCAGCCAGCCAGGGGCCAGGAACTTCTGAACACCTCACTCGTTTCCCCGTCTTCGGAAGCCCAGGTTTCTGTGACTGATACTCCACTCTTAGGGCCTCGAGATTTCCTGACCTGCAGGAAAGCTTTTTACCTCTCATCAGTGGACGCCACATGCTCTGCTTATTCTGCTCAGTGAAATTCGCTCCGTTTGGAACTGGGGTCCTGGGACGTTTGTTTGCCCAGAGCGCTTTATCCCTCCTTTCCTTATTTGTGGCGCTTCTTGGTGTTTTCAGTTCCTTCTTTTCAGGCTTTTTACTTTGTAGCTGTCAGTTCTGATGTTGCGTGACTGGGTTTGTGGCAGGGGACAGAGGGTGATGTGTCTTCTGCTTGTAGGTGGCTGGCGAGGGTGATCTTCATCTTTCTGGAGACTACTTGAATGCATTTACATTTTTCTTGCTAATGGGTTCTAATGTAGGCATAACTGAAATATGGACCAGTAACGTGTTACTACCCCTTAAACCAGGGGTTATAAAATAGTCATCAACACGCTTTCCAGCAAAAATAGAGGGGAGAAATGCACACAAGAAACTAATTATGGGACCCACAGATGGCGTAATGGTCACTGGACTTCCATGTAGTTGACCGGGGTTCAAGTTCCGGACCCGGTGGCTTAAAAAACTCATGCCGGGCGCGTGTGCGTGCGTGCCCAAGATCCCGAGAGGAGGATGGAAGAGAAGGGATTGCGGCATGGCCATCCCTCTGGGAGGTGATTTCTCGCTTTCTATCTCTCTGTCTCTCTGTCTCTCTGGCAAGCGTACATGCCCTATAGCATGTATAGGGCACACATGCCCAGTGTGAATTTCAAGCTGCCAGGTCCAGTACTCAGACCATAGCCAGCCATGTGGGAATCCAGCACCTTAACCGCTATACCACCTGCTGACCCTGAGTTACAGTTTTTTACGAAAGACACATTAACAAATGCGGCACTGGAAAAGTACATGGTTTTTCTTACAATGTAGATACAAAGTACGATTTTTTTTTAGGATAAGCTCTTGGGGAATGTATTCGGAGACCTGTAAAATCAATTATTGTGGACAGTTTTCCCATAGCAATGAAAGCTTAACACAGCAGTACTGTCTTCCCTGAAAGCATGAAAACTTGCAGTATGCTAAAGCAGATTTCTTCATTCGTCCTTTACATAAATCCAGCGTTGTCTTGTGCCTAGATCAATCCGCTGCACAAACACTGGGCCTCTAGCGTCCAGATGTCCCCTTAGCACGGTAGACACACACACTGGAAGGCAGTATGGAGAACAGCCAGTGAAAAAGGCAAAGCAAGACGAGACCCAGCCTCATGGTCAGAAAGTAAGGGCACTGCTCCAAATGCTGGAGGCCGTGTGGGGAGGCTCTGGATTTGCCTCTGGATTCGCCCGGATCTGCTCCAACACCTGGGCCACTCGTG